GATTTGACGACATGGCACACAGTTTCACGCCACCTTTTTGTAGTCTTTTCTAATCCCAGTCGTCAGGTTGATGGAACTATTTATGCATTTAGAGTGGTCTTGTCAGTACAATGGAACGATGATTGGGGCTCGGCACATACTGTATTATGCCCGGATGAAATATCCTGAAATTTTTCACCATTGATTTTTCATTTGATTCGTAAAACAATTAATTACGATCGTTTGGCGAGATGGACAGAGGAATCGGATAATGCCCAGCAACGATGTCCAGCAACGGACAGCGAGAGACTGAAAATGAGAAACCGCGGGGATGTGCCTTTCAGGATATGGATTTTCAAAATCATGCAAATCCGGCGTAATAACGTTGTCCCCACCCTGAACATGTTGACTTCTGTTCATATGAAGTCTCAATAAGAAGAATGACATCAATTTATTTCTGGATATCAGCCGTCCGCAATCGTCCGTTTCCGTATACCATTATACGTCGTCATTCACCATTCGCTGTTCAGAAAACGATATGGCTGTAAGATCTCACTGGCTCGCTTCAGGGCTTATTTAAGAAGCTGGTCTCCCATCCTTCTGTGGTAGTTAGTAGTTTTAACGTTGTGTCTTCCGTAAAAAAATTTTTTCTTATGACAAACGAGATTTATTATCCTTTCATTGTCATCGTTGCGTTGCCGTACTATTTCAGAATGTACGATGGGCCTTCACGACTAATGATGGCAATTAGTGAGTATGCGTTTAGTGTTACCTCGTACTTGCTTTTGATCCTTTGCTTGCGTTTCCGTTCTCCACAGCATGGATGCAAGACATGTTTTCTGGCAATATTGGAACCTGTGCACGACTTCCTATTCATTGAATCGGTCTTTGTTCTTAGTTCTTTTCAGTGTTCTTAATCTTCCTGCAGAGTATTTGAACTGAATAAGCGTCTGAACCTTGAAATCGTCTGACAGAGACAGATTCGTTGGCTTAAAGGAAAAGTTTTGCTTCAGCGGCAACTACCAAGCTCATTATTTACTTGAAATGCTCTTTCATTCGTACTCGTAGTTGTATTCTGAGGTTCCACTGTTTTTATGAGGTCATGACGATTATTGCTTTTCAGAAAATGAGAACGTTATTGTAGCATTGGTTCGGTAACTTAAATAGGTGGTGAAAGCCTTGTCATTATTGGCCATTTGTGGCGCCACCCTGTACATTTGATGATTTCTGGACCGGAGAGATGAGAATCGGTTCTTCTAGCAGCTCCTTTGAAGCAGTACCCCGAGAAAACGCTTTGTTGCCAACTACATCTTTTCCAAAGAGTAAACAAGCTTTGAAGCTCTCTGCCCTAATCGAGTCCATAATTCTTTGCATGAACGAATAATCATCCCTTCATCTCGTGGTGATGGCAAAATTACCCAACAGGCAATCAGTGTGGCGTTCACCCTGTGAAAAACCCTTACAGTGGCCCCTGAACGAAATTGCACATCATAGCTCAACAAGATACCAAAATCAAGTATAAAGTGGTGGTGCACGTACAGGATTTAATTAGAAAGTGCTTAGTATGATTCAGACCTCTAAGGTTTCAGACCGGACGATTTTCTGGATTGTTACACGTGCGTGTCGTGAGGTTGCTAAGCGGTGATTTGACGGAAATGGTGATAAGCGGTGTGAGTATTTATGGCATGGACATGACGCTGGGCTGGAACGAGAGGCAAACCATCAAATGGCCAATTTAGGCCATCGACATTTGTGATTTCCTGAGTTTCGCGAAATCAAATAGCACACAGATCAAATAGGGAAAACCATAGCAAAGGCGCATTGCCGTGTTTGAAAGTTTGAAAGCTTACGGCTTCAATGAAGTCACAAAATAATTTCCTTTCTCTGCATATACACAAAAACAAAAAATAATAGGATCGAGAGTTTATAACTGATGAAATAGCCATCGAAAGAGGTATCGATTCGACGCCCGTTTATGACCCTCAGTCTCTGATCCATCGTTCAAGGCTTCAGACGAAAGCATGATGTAAATTCCATTTCTCGCCGGCGCGACCCGACTTACGGACGATTGCAATTATTTGCATGATTATAACTTTTTAGGAATGCACAAACACACTAACAGAACTATCTGACATTTAGCATACTCAAGTAATGCCACTTAACTGACTTGCGGTCGTGGAGGATGTGCGTTTAGGCTGAGATAGTAGATCTCTCTAGAACTTTGCCCTCGCATAAATACTAACATGACCGATTGAGGTTGTGTGCAGTTCGACAAGCACTGCAACATTCTATCATCGTGCGTTGCGCAATATGCGAACGCAGTTGCTACGGATGTTGTTTCTCATGCGAATATCGTGTGCATCTGATGATTCTACGACATTCAGTATCGAATCATTCAATATTGAGGCATGCTTAAGTGACTTTCGTATGGTCCTAATATCTAGGGTCAGTAACTGAGGTAAGATGCGGTTGTGCTATTGGTGACAACAGCAAGAGTAAGTGCAGAAGCGACGTTTTCAGACGTATTGTTGGGAGCATGCAGGGTGTTGAGTTGTCGTATAGAGTAATGCCCTGCAACACTGATTAGTTACTGCCGGAACGTTACGATATCAGGTGAAGTAGAAGACGTTTCAAGTGCATGCCGTGCTCCAGGCGCATTGCCGATTTATCGCGAACGTCCAGGGTATGTGCAGTCACGGTCAGCAATGCACCGGCAGGATTTGGGACTCGAGTCAAATATTTGGGACTTGAGTCAGACACTCGCTAACCACCAACCAAGGACAAGCGTGTGCATGCCGTTGATTGTTGTTCAGTCGTAGACGAAGGTCTCCCTTCAACCGTTCAACGGCTCAACAACGTCTCGTTGGCAGGTGCTTTCTCTACAGTACGTTCAGCGACGGCAAAGAGCTGGTCGTTGAAATACAGCGCCAGCGCCAGCGCCAGCGCCAAGCCAACGCCAAGCCAAACCGGGGCGGCTGCCGTGACGCTGACCTGTCTTCCTTGAATTCTTCTCCAAACCACCGCGAAAGAGATGGAG